AACGGGCCAAGTGAAGGTGGGTGCAGCATACTGTCAGACATCATAGTATACGGACTAATAAAAGTACATTGTTTCTGTAAAATAACGTTGAATAATTGAAGAAACGAACACGATAAACTGTTAATTTTTTGCTGCGTGATTTGCTAGTTTGTCTTTGCCAAATTCAAGTTAAAGAATGTCATCAAATTCATTCTCCCTCGCCACTCTAATAAATAGGTATACAATAGAGTGGGGTTGGCTTGAATGGCGTACGTGTTATCCGCACGTTTTTAAAAAAAAACAAAAAAAAAAACACTTACCGTGTGAGGGCGTCTCTGTTCAGGTTGTTCTTAACCAGGTTTGCAAGTACATGTACTAGTAAAATTATAACCCTAAATGCCTTAATACAGACGATCAAAATATTTTTTTTTTTAATTTATTAATTTAGTCCCATAAATAAAGTACGGAAGCTTATTAGGGACATACATGGAAATAAAAAAATAATTTAAAACTCGTGGCCACGACTTACTATCTCGTGGCCACGACTTACTATCTCGTGGCCACGAATCTCGTGGCCACGACTTTGTATCTCGTGGCCACGACTTACTATCTCGTGGCCACGACTTACTATCTCGTGGCCACGACTTACTATCTCGTGGCCACGACCTCGTATCTCGTGGCCACGACCTCGTATCTCGTGGCCACGACTTACTATCTCGTGGCCACGACTTACTATCTCGTGGCCACGACTTTGTATCTCGTGGCCACGACTTACTATCTCGTGGCCACGACTTTGTATCTCGTGGCCACGACTTACTATCTCGTGGCCACGACTTACTATCTCGTGGCCACGACTTACTATTTCTATTAAATCACGATGACATTTGACTGTAGAGCGACCTCTAGCGATGACATTAGTAGACTTCCTGACTGACTCAACGAACCGTCATTGAAGTTTCCAGCTCCTAAAAAGCCGATTTGGTAAGTTATTGAAATAATGTATACAGTGCATTTGAATACCACAGGGAGGGGACGATTGATTCGTTTCATATGTAGTAA